TCCCGGCGTCGGCGAGAATCTCCAGGACCACCTCCGCGTCATGACTTCATACCAGCTCAAGCCTGAGTTTCTTTCCTTCGACGCCCTTCGAAGCAATGCTACCTTTGCCGCTGAGCAGCTTGCTCTCTGGAACGCTGGCAAGCGCTCTCTGTACGATTACACTGGCAGCGCGTATACCTTCTCAACATGGAAGCAAGCCCTCGGTAACGATGCCAAATTGGTGTCACTTGCCAAGGATGCTGCTAGTAAGGACGCTAGCAAGGTTGACAAGAAGAAGTTAGACTTCCTCAAGGATTCTTCTGTTCCCCAGGTCGAGGTTATTTTCTCTGATGGCTACACCGGAGTAAAGGGCTATCCCGCCGCCACATCTCCCCTCTTCGGCAAGGGCTTCGTCACTCTCATCGGTGTAGTAATGCATCCTCTCAGCCGCGGCAGCGTGCACATCAATCCCTCCGACCCAGCCGGCAAGCCCACCATCAACCCCAACTACCTCAGCAACTCTCACGACGTCGAGGCTGTCCTCCAAACAGTCAAGTACAATCGAAAGATTGCCAACATGGAGCCCATGCGCTCGATCTGGGTGGATGAGTATGAGCCTGGTCTGGATGTCAAGACCGATGAGCAGCTCAAGGATTATGTTCTGAGAACGACGCTTAGCATTTTCCATCCTAGCGGTACTTGCGCTATGCTTCCGAAGGCGGATGGTGGTGTTGTTGATGCTAAGCTTAAGGTTTATGGGACGGAGAATCTTCGTGTTGTTGATGCTAGTGTTATTCCTCTGTTGATCTCGGCGCATATTCAGACTGCGGTTTATGGCATTGCTGAGATTGCTGCTGAGCTCATCATCAAGGATGCGAAATAAGTATTATCAGTTAGACTTTAGATAGAACAGCGCACATCTTCACGGATTGCGCTTCAATTAATTACTTATCATTCTGAGGTTTTCGCCCGTGAACAAGTGGACGCCTCCGAGCGCCAAGTTGTGAGACTCGAACGCTCATTTCATCCTCTCAGCCCGAAAATGGTAGATTTACCGTATCTTTGTGTCGCTCGAGTGAGTCAGTGACAATTTGCCCTGAGCAGTCTTTCGTTGTCGATTGATGCGCAAAGAATTAGTCAATCACTGATGCCCAACGTCACGCAATCACGTTTCCGAGACACCTTCACTCTGTGATTGAAGTGCACACTCCCTTCTGTCGGTGACTTCACTGACTAGTGGTATCTACATCGAGTCAGCTTCCTCTGTGAATATGCATAGCAACCTGAGCATCACGGTCCTCGTGCCTCAGTGAATACAACACCATCTCGAGTGCGCGGCATCATCGCCCAAATGGCCGTCGACAAGATGCTCTCCGCCGCCGTCCATTTGCATCTTTCGTGCATTGCGAAGTCGAGGGCACGCTCCTCATCCACCTCATCACAAAACAACCGTCCCTAGACCAGTCGATCTTACCTCTCACGATGGCGATTCAGTACGTACACAACTTCTTTCGCCGAGATCCGAGCCGTCCACTCAACGACAAAAAGCTGGATCGCTTCGTTGAAAAGTCACGAGGACAGTACCAAGCCAAGTTTCTGGACGAGGAGAAGCAGTTCCTTCGGATCACTCGGACGTTTGTGGAGAGCAACAGCGTGGAGGACACAATTGACGACGTTTTCAAGGCAATGAAGAAAAGAGGACTCAAGAAATACTGGCAGCGGAGGCTCACTGTGACTGGTTGCGACCCAAATCGTGTCGAGGTTAAGCTTGCAGACCTGGAGTATTGGGAGATTTGATGGCCACGAGGAAAGTTGGAAAGAAGATGAACTAGACATCGATTGCGACGGCCTTTGGATGATCGACCGGAATCTTTCTTGGGTTTGGTGGATGCCCCAGGTTTAGACCCATCACAAAGAACGCTTGGCGAGGTACTCTTGGTACTGAGGATCGACCGAAGATTAGTTCTCGAAAGTCCCTTCAATACGTGTGAATGGAGTCTCATTGAGATACCTGAGCTGAATGTCCCTTCAATACACTCACCGATTCATGGCATGCACTGTCTCAATCTCCGTATAGCACTTGTGTTGAATGGCCGTGGGCGCAAGAATGGCAAGGAAAGCCAGTTTGCAAAAAGCTGAAAGGGATTAATTGCAATGGAGACTCAAGGTGAATCAGAGCATTCGGCGCTAAGCTGAACAGCACTGGCAGAACCACCATCGTCCTTTGAGACGTGACAAAGGCGGTTATTTACTTGTGATTGTTCATCCGCCGCGTCGAGATCGTCCTCATCACAGATGAAGCCAGCAACTTTTCCATATAAAGCTGACTCTTCCGCCATTTTAGTGCACTGTAAGTTCCCTGCGCCGATCTAAGCTCTCAGCAACAAGTCTCNNGCCGCCACCAAACTCACGCATATCCACACAATATGGGACCGAAGGCCTATGAGCAAAATGAAGACCCTATTCGCCCTGTTCATCCCCATAGCAGAAACCAAGCTTCTGATGTTCATCAAGAAGCATAAACTTCACCACCAGATGGATTTTTGGGATGATGGGTTTCGATTGACGATACCATTGGACAACAAGAGACCGCAAAAGGCACTGGCAGACCTGGCTGCGGAAATGGAACTTGGAGGATTGGATAAGTACTACGAATTTGTGGCGTATATTCCGACAGACATTCCGGATGAGTTCGATCGAAGGGTGTGTATCATCGACTAGACAAGTTGATTTGACATGAGGTCTCAGAAGTGCACAGCTGATGGCTGACATTACGCGTCTCGCACGCACGAGGTCCAAGAAGCGGTATCTGAATTTATTTACTACGGTTCTCTCGTAACTTGTTGTTTTCTCTTCACAATTGGTAGTGGTGATAGGAGGAAAGAGCCAGTTGGTCGATGAGAACATTCCTTAGTTAGTAGTCTCGCGACCAGGGCGGGTAATTTTGATTGGCTCTGCTGAGCATCAAATAATGATCAAGAGGTAGTTCTGAAAGGAACTTTTTAATTGAAATCGCATCACCTACATATCCCTCGAGATATTAACATAGTAGCATCGGAGGAGAAGGCAATGTTGAGCATTCTGCGCTAAACTATATCGGTCGGTGACTCGGAACAATCGTGGTTGTCCCCTGAAGTGTGAACAAGGTACGGTTTCCTTGGGCAACATCACTGTTCGGCAGCTAAGAAGATAGTATCCTTATCAGAGCCAACGTATATGACCTTGGTATATATAATTGACCGTCATCACCCTCTCAATCTACCCACCAATGATCAAACCATCCTTACACAACTCCAAGAAACCATGTCTGAACCAACTTCCATCTCCGGGCCCACACATATACACACAGTATGGCGCAAAAGGGAAAAGGAATTGAGCACAGCACAGAGACTCATCGGCATGGTCACACCCTCCCCAGAGAAGCAACTTCAGGAGTTTATTATAAAGCACGAGATACACTGGAACAGCCGATGGGATAAAGATAAAAAGCTTCGATTGACGGTACCATTAGGCGGCAAGAGTCCAGAGGAGACACTCGCAAATCTTGGCTATCAGATGCAACGTGAGGGATTGAATAAGTACTGGGAGTATGTCACGCAGGCTCTTACCGACGATCCGAATAAGGTCGACCCAAGGGTGTACAAGAATGATCAGGGTTTGCAAAAGGAAGCGCTCACAAATAAGTCGTGAGCCTTTTGCTACCCAGCCCAGTAAATTGGCGGTGGTGACAGGGAAGAGGATCGTTTTACCTGAACAGGCAGCCAAAGGCAATGAGGGTCACAATCATTGGTTCCAGTGAGCGCCAATAGTGATATCGCGGACGGTCCTGCTGGTCATATTGAATGTTAGCTCAATTAGAATCTCATCGTTTATATTTCCTCTTAAGTCACAAAGAACTCATAATTATCCCTGTACCGTCTGGTAAAATATTCAATTTGAAATCCGGATATCCTGCTCACGTTTCTCACAGCATCTCTATGTCCATCAATCACATGACTCCTTACACGTAACCAGTTGGTTTATAGCAACAAATCAGCAACGGCCTATCTTTCCTGTCAATTGCGCCTCTGAAAGCCCGGAGATTTGCGGCAGTGATGATAGCTCCTGTATATATGTGAATCGTGATACATCGCATACCTTCCGGTCTCGACATCACTGTCTGACAACCGACCGTATCACCGAGAATCTCCTGGCGCTCTTTAGATGGTATAAGACAGTTAGCTAGGCATTGTATTTCCGCTCAATCAACAACCGTGTCACACAAACACATCTACAACAAACGACTGCTAGCACCATGGGTGCAATGACTGCCAAGAAATTCCGAGAATGGTCTGACAGATGGAACGAAGACTTCAGACACTACTACTTTGTTAAAAACAACAATGGCTATTATCCATCATTATGTCAATTTGCCTCGAAGTATAAGGGCAAATATGAAGTCAACTTCGACAATGTGAAGGAAACTCTTCTCATTCTGTTACCCAAGGACGATTACTATCACAAAGACGCGAACACTCAAAAAGCAATTATAATGGAGCTTGGGAGAGCTATAGAAAATCAGATGCCGCGCTATTGGGTGAAGGATGAGGTGAAACACCGAGAAATGGAAGATCGCTTTGCACGGGAGGTGGAAGGGCACTACCAACAGGAAGATGCCAAAGTACAGAGATGAGGCAAATGATGAATTTCGCGAGAGCTTATCTGTAAAAAGAGGATAAAAACATTAGAAGTCAGTATGACTCTCAACTCGAATAGCGTATTAAGGCGAATCATCCTTCAGCATGACTCTTGACTTTATGGCATAACCCTAAGATAGCTAAGATCATCTCAAAGTACTTCGAAATTGGCCCACCCAGTGAGAGACACAAATGACCAGTGTAATAGAAAGACTCATCTGTTGATTAGAGTCACAATTGCTTTGAAGAATATCCAGTTAAAAGGGCACGCAAACCAGAAGGGGTCCGGGGGTCAAGCTGCACCACAGCAAAGGCAGTCTTCCATAGTCACTAAAGTTCTAACCGGCCGGGTCTGTAAGAATATGAGCGGATGCGAGGGATTGCTCTTGATTGAACATTCTCCGGGGCCCTTCCACTCTGTGGATCAAGTAGTCTGAAGCAATTGAAATGCGCACCGATTCCTGTTATTCACTATGAAGCCTTTCCACTATGAAGTTTCGAGTCTCTACCGTCTCACTGAGTGTTCCGAGCGATTTTCACGTCCCACTGGCTTGCAAAATAATCACTCTCGGTACTTACTGGAATGATATGCTCTTCACTACCTTTCTTTCCACAGGCATCCGTATATAGAAGAAGCTTTCAGCCTGCTCTTTCGGTAGACTCATCACACCATACAACAGATAACTGACGACAATACACCTGATCAGAAACGCAATGGAACCTCCTCATTTCAAACAAGGGCCGCCAACAAATTCTAGCGACCCATCGCCGCCATATACGGAGATCGCATCGCCCCCTCCATATTCGAACGTCCCATCTGCAGAGTATCTCAACGAGATGTTTAGATATTTCTACCTCCGCAACAGGAAGGACAGCTGCAAGGCTACTCTTGCTGATTTCCTTGCTAAAAATAAAGATTACACCTTTGAGCTTCACAACAATGATGAAAGCCTTTGGCTCGTGCTACCCGAAGATTCTTACATGTCAATGAAATTTGAAAAGCTTCGGAAAATACGCAGAAGGCTAGAAGATGCAGCGATCAAAGGAAAGCTTTTCCACTACTGGGAACGTGATGTGGAAAGGAATCAGTACGTTGAGCGGGGAATCGTAGAAGCGAAGTTGAGGAACGAGTACCAACAAAGGCTGGAGAAGGACAAAGAGTTCAGAAATATGGAGGCCACGAAGCCAGCCTCACTCATATCAGCAGAGCTTGACCGACGTGTACTTAGTTTGTTTATGGGATGGTGAGGCTATCGTGACTGCCGAGGTGGCTGAAGTCTTCAAGAAGCAGGCCACAGAAGCGAAATTATCAGTAGGAGAACAAAACACAGCTGGCTTAATAAAACAGATAGCGCCACTGAGCCTACTATGAGGAATCAATTCATTATCTGCAACGTTTGGCATATACTGGGCATCTGATCCATTAAACTGTTTTTCTCCTTTCAGTATAGTCTACTTCTAATCATGAAATGTGTCGTAAACAAGTTGACGAAGGATAGGCTCAAAGAGCTGATTTACTCATAGTTACGAGACTGCATCTGCAATGCGACATGCAATAAGGGTTTTCGAAAAGGACTGTGGGTAAATATTGCAGAAGACAGAGATCTAACGTTCCCTGGTATTGAGGGTTAAGTTATTACAGAAAGAAAGTAAGCGGATCGGTGTAAGTACACAATCTATCGTAGGAGTGCGACAGTTAGATCGTGCTGACACTAAGAGGCAACCAGATACAACTTTTGATAAAGATGTTAAGAGTTTGCAATTGATCCGTCACGTGAATCACTTTCAGCCTGTAGTGAGACGGAGCGTGAAAGATGAGAGTATTCAGCATTGATTAGTTGGGCTTAGTATTTGTATACATTGACTCTGAAACCCGGCAACTGACACAGCATCACCAAAACCCAAAGGTGTGACATAGATCGCCGTGGGCCTTTCAGGAATCACTGCTCCATTAACCTCAAGCAGTTTCCTTGTCACAGACTTCTGTGTGTCAGGATCAATCTAGATAATTGTTACCCAACATACTTCCGGTTCAGCCCACCAACTACCTTTACCCTATCACTTTATGCCAAACCACAAAAACACCAATTGATCATGGAAGCTACAGCTCCTCAAAGCACCTCTCAACTTTCCACAGAGGACGATCCAGTCAACGAAATGGATAGGAAGAGACATACTCCAATGCCTAGTTTTGTGAAGGCGATGCTTGTCACGTCTATCGAGAAGCACATGGCAGAGTATACCGTTGAGTTCATAGATAATGACCAGCGGCTTCACGTTGTGCTACCTCCCGGCGACTACCACCGCCTAGACACACATTGTGTTGCTCGCCGGGACTTGGAAAAGGCGATGCAGAAGACTAAGCTCTCCACGTTCTTTGAGGCAGAGAAGCCATTGCATTTCAAGAATTTGGAGATGCTGGCAAATATAACTAAACGCCATGTTGAAGATCATGCAGCTGTTGAGGCAGCAAGAAGGGAAGGAGTGCACACCTCCAAGAACGCAGAGCAAAACATGAGGATGGAACGAGGAGATTGATAGTATGCTCATAGAGCCCAGATTACGTATCAATACACAGAGGTGTGACTATAAGCATAAACACTCGCCAATCTGATACTACCGAAATGGTCGTAGCAGGCCATCAAACCTTAATAGAAATAATGGACTACGAAAGAGAACATCTGACTTTTATCTATGAGTTAAACAACAAAGAAGAATTAAACAGTCGTGTTAATGCAGGTGACAGGTCGTTTAAAAACTGCAAATTGGCAAACATCACATTTAAGAACAGAACCAGAAGGCCTTCGTTGCATTATTCACAATTACTCCAGTGTAAGAAGCACTTCAGAGAGTTGCGGAGAAACATCGCCATGAACAACGGAAGTCAGCACTGGTGTGATATTCATTGCAGATGTTCTTACACGCGGGGAACAGCACAGATTCAGAGGTCGCGCTTATCGTGATGCTGACAGAGCTTCCTAAGAGAGTCACAGTCTGTTGAACGTGCCGTAAGCCCCTTGTCACAAGCCATGCGTGTATCCTTCTCTCCCTACATAACAATCATTAACCATCCACTATATCCTGCTCACTCAACACCCATGGACATACCACTTGACAAACTACAAAGCGACGTCATCAGCAACGAACTCATCATGAGCTTCCTAATCCACGAGGAAATGAAGACTGACTACCAGAAGGAGACAAGGGAACTCAATAAGGCACTCAGGCATTGCTTTTATGTTAGAAACAGAAACGTTCCCCTAACTCCAGAGGCGATGGACTCACTAGAGTTCTCTATCCAGGAGCACATGGCGAAGTTCAAGGTTGAGTTTGAGGCCAACGATGAGAAAATCCACATCACGATTGGACGAAGATCTCTTGGGTCTCATTCGTCTTCATCAGGAACTTCGAGATGCTTTACACATAACAAAGATTTCAACCTTCTTCCGCCTTGACCCACGGAGGACCTTTGAGATTCACATACAAACGCTGAAGAAGCGCCTTTTACAGACTCAAAATAGGCACCAGAAATCCGGAGGCTTGGAAGAAGATATCAAAGAGCAACAAGAGGTCTTGTCAATTGTCGAGGCAGTAATAGTCGAAGTCCTTGAAAGTTCCCAGAAATGAAGCTTGCAACTCTACGATATGGATGAACATTAAAGGAATCCATCAAATTCGTTTTCTGCCTTGTTATAGAAACTCGGTCTGTCAATAGAGTGCTATGCGTTAACCTTCTTTTCGATAATTCGCATGGACTGAGCTCACTTCACATTCTCACTGTAACAGATCTAATTAGTATTGATGTATAGTAGAGTAATCGAATGTTTTCAATCGCCATTTGCGAGAATCAACTTAACAGGGTGCACAGATAGTCATCAACAATAGAATCCGTCACTGGCCAGTTGTGTTCAGCGTCGATGTCCTTCAACACAGAGAATACGCACATATTCACCGACAACCTTATGAGAGATTATCTTTATCACAGACGGTTTATGTATCCGTCTAGTCTATATAACCATCGCCAACGCCCGTTCTGGGACTCTCTCAACCACCATTCCCGTTTCCCCTCACTAAAGTCAGCTAGACACTGTGCCAAGGTACTCGTCATGGAGACCCCAACTTCTCAAGAACCCTCTGTACAAGAGCAATTAAGTGAGATAGCTCGACATTTCTATTATATGAGAAAGGCAGACGCCCGAATGTTTCTAGGCGCAAAGACTTTACTCAAGATGTCGATCCAAAAGCACATGTCGAAATACGAAGTGGAATTTCTGGAAAACGACCAAAGACTTCGTGTTTCAGTACCCCTAGATGTGATGAGGGAGGATTCTGAGGAGAGGTTTCGCCGCATAGGGGAAATTTCGGACGCTATGAGGAAGGCGAAGCTTTCAACCTTCTTCCGTCAGGATTCAATGGAGGAGTTGAAAAAGAAGGTTCGGGTAGGGCAGACCCGTGATTGAGGCCTCGAGAAAAGGAATGCCAGTGCAACTCAGGAGAGGAAAGAGCTCGAGGTTGCGCAGGATATGCTGAGAATACACGAGGAAGCAATGGAAAGACGGAAACGAATTGATGAAGCATGGAAGAGCTAAGACTCAAGATCTAGAGACATGCGTGTAGACGAGAGCATATGCGGGTTCGCAATACAGGATCCGTACTTCCAAGGTTAGGGTTAGGGTTAGTAATTATGTACTAACCTTTCTGGAAATAATCCATATAAACCTATCATCTGCATCTTCTTCCAAAACGGCATGTTGAACTTCCAGCCCAGCTTCTTCAGTCAACGCCTTCATGACGACTTCCTTCCCAAGCCCACTCCAAAACATCCATCCTTTTTCGTTTAGCCACCTCTCATTGATGATGGCTGACGCCTCATTAGTACCAAACGTTGACAGAAAGACACCACCTGGAGCAAGCCAACTACCGATTCGCCGTATCATCTCTCTCTGTTCTTCTTGTGGCAAGTGAATAATGCTGTACAGGGCGACGACTGCTGTGAGAGAACCAGGTTCAAAGTCTAGTTTCATCATGTCGCCGGGATGAAAGTCGACACGATCCTGATACGCAGCTAGGTTTTGTCGAGCGAGATCTAGTTGAACATCGGAGAGATCGTTGGCGTGCACGTGTACAGACGGTGCTCGAGCGAGCAGAGTTGAGGTGAAAGGACTTCCAGAACCGCATCCAAGCTCAAGGACTTGCTTCTTCGCTATAACACCAGTTGAAACTAGTTCTAGGCAGGAATGGAGAAGCTTGTCAAGATAAGTCAGACGAAGTTGGTTGTGGCGCGCTGTCCAGGTGTTGTATGCTGGTGCAATCGCGTTGTATGATGCAAGAAGGCGATCTTTCATATCAACAGGCGGCTCCATGGTTTCTCATGGTGGGATATTCGGCTTCGTGAGGGGTTATTCGTCCATCATATATGTAGAAAAAAGAGTTCAACAATGTAGGGAAGCAGTCAGTCTAATGAGTCATGCCGACCCCCAACGTAAGACAACCTCAGCTAGCGGTCACTAGTTTCGGTTCAACGTCGGCTACATCAAGCGTCAACCACAACGATAATACTTCAGCCCAACTCGAAAGGGGATTTGCGGTCAGACTATCGGCTATGGCAACTCATAGTGAACTGTGTATACTCCCCTCGGGGAGTAAGAAAACAGC